TTTGGGTAGTTTTGTCAGGAAGGAGTTTTCCTTTGTTTCGATCCTGTGTATAGTGCACTCTGTTTGACTGCAAACTCCTTTTTTTGTCATCTTATTTCTTCTTCAATTAGTTTTATTTTTAATGATTCATGCTTCGGTATATCATCTCTGGACTCAATGTCAATTCAAAATGCTTTGTATTCGTTGGGCAATGAATTTAATAACATTATAGATAGTAGCTCACTTGGAATTGGGATACCTGCTTCTTCCAATTGTTCAGCTTTTTCCATAAATTCAGTTACATGTCTCAACATTGATTGTTCAGTTTTCTTTTTCATCTGATAAAGTTGTCTGTATAGTACTGCCTTTTTAATTGGACCTTTCGATTTATGTATCCTTTCCAACTTATCCCATGCTTCTTTGGAAGTTTCTGCCCTCTTTATGTGGCTCAACTGGTTCTGCTTAGCACCTAGTAAAATTATTGCTAGAGCCTTTTCATCATTTCTCTGCCAATCTATTCCACCGGGATCAGCACTTGGTTTTTCTATAGATCCATTCACATATGGCCAAAGTTCATTACAAATAAATATGCTATGCATCAGTAACTTCCACGATTCATAGTTACCATCATCGAGTTTGTCTATGTGCTGTGTCCCCACACTATTCATGGCGTCATTAAAAAGGTTATCCCTTTTGTTAGCAAACAGTAATATGTCACTTACTCTATTTTCTTCATATGGTATATCTCGATCATTAAACCTAACCACTCTCTGCTACCATGTAAGGATGCGAATCTATATGGGTTCTAGTAGAAGGCAACACAAAGAATGAATGGTAGGAACACCACACGCTGTTCGAACATGGTGCGGACCATAGAGTAGAGGGCATGATGATACTAAGTTCTAAAGGTTACATTTACAACTTCTCAACAACAAATTGAGAGACATTCCTTTAATATCAAATAGTTTCTAAATGATGATATAATTATTTACAATAATAAACAGAATATTTACTAGTGTTTTGTTCATTTAATTCTATTTAGTCTACAAATAATTCTTATTAAGACTTTAAAAATTCCAGTATAGTTATATTAAACTACAAAAGTAAATACTTCAAATCAACTTCTGGTTTTATCAAAAATTTTGTAAGTTCTCAATTATCTATAATTATATTTTATATACTTGTGTNCGCTACTATCGTCTGTACAGTATGTAAATTAGGTACCGTAAGTCTAATACAGCACTGTAATTTTATACATTTCTTGTGAAAGAAACATTTCTTATTCAACGGCGATTAAAATTATTTATATTAATGATGTCTCCAAAGTTCAGCAAAGTAACAGAAAAATAACATCAGAAATCGCGTCCGCAGTTTGCTGAGCTGTTCTGCAACGAAAACAAGCTTGAGCAACGGCGATGTCGAATGGTGCACACTTGGTAAGTAACCCTACAATTTTTTGTTTATAGCGTAGTTTATACGGATTATTTCCAAAAAAAAATATACGTATTTTGGAAATGTTGAGTTGGATTAGTCTAGAATCGATTAATTTTATGGAAGAAAACCTTTCAAACAACCATAGTCCATAAACTTGACACATGTCGGGCTGTGATTGGAAGGACTCGTAAGAAATCGGATTCCTAAAGAATGGAACGTATCTACTGTCTTATAGGGGGGGTCGACTGTATATACTTTTACAACAATATTAACAGTATAAAGCAAAAACGTATCTGCATAAAGTATTAGTTTGTTGTTTTCTATCAGCTGGTACAGTACACATACATAAGTTTCCTGAATATTTGTGTGGGGTAGAACTTCTCTTTATGACCTTTTTCAAGATCAATTGGTAATAGGTTTAGTGCTCCATAGGGAAACCAAAGAACTAATTTGAACCAAAGTAATTGTGATATACTGTACAGTATTTATTTTTATTACCAGATCCTTGGTTATAAAGTTACAAGTGTTAAAAATTGGAATTGATCCAAGGGAAAATAGTATTCTCACAGCTGCAACATTAAACTCAGGCAAGAATGTACTACTTACAAGTTATTTCTTTGAATTTTTGCAAATATAGATTTTCCTTTGTCTATCTTTCTTATTCCGGAATATCCGGAATAACAGGGTTTCACTGTATTGTAACAAAGATCAGCATCTCATAGTGGCAATTATATGTATATATATAACTTATGGCTTAAGAACTAATTTTCCTTTCAGCAGTTTACTTTCCATCCAGCACTATAAATTGGGAAACAAAGCATTTATTAGTACTATATTTTCATATGTGCAATGCACAGCTTATATATGTTTAAAAAATAATTTGAATGAGATGCAAGTTATGAGATGGAGCAGGTTATACATTGTGATTGATTGCACCCATAGTGTGCAGAGTATACATAATATACAATGATTACAGTCACAGTATACAGGCTATATAGATTGCTTGTTTCACCACATATATAGGGTAAACAGTGAAGCAAACAATCTGTATGAAAAGGTTTTATTTTTTGTTCTGGCAATTTTCTATGGGCGTATACTTTCATGAATTATACACACAAAAATATAGTACTAACAGTATTACTTTCTTGGCTGTTATACACAGGAAAAGTATGGCAATCTAGCAAAAAAATGAATCACTCAGATTTTTACATTTTTGGACTTAAGACACCTTTAAACATTGAGAAATGCAAAAATTTAGAGGGTAATTTCTAAATGTATGGATGTTTGTGTATGTGTGTGTGTTTATGTGGGATACAATTTTGTTCACCTTGTTTGAAGCTTAATAACTCCTGTGCTTTTTCTTGAAAATTTCTGAAATTTTGCATGGAGGTTTATTAGGGGGATTGATGCTGTTAAATTTTGGTGGTTAAGTTAAATTTTGGTGGTTAAAGGTCAAGGGGATGGGGAGATAATGGGTGTTGTGTGTATCTCCAGTAGGGTCGAACTTAATGACAATTTTACTCGTTATTTGTAATTTCAATTTTTTTTTTATAAACACAAAAAGCACTATTATATCCGAAGTCATAAAAAGTCGCTAAATTTTTTATTTCATTGATTTTCCTAAAAATTATATTATTGTCAGATGCAAAAGTCAGATTGGACCACTTCTGGCATTTTTACTGACACTTATTTTAATTTTTTCTGCATAGTAAGTTTATTTACAAACTATGATATTTCCATATGAATAATTATATTTTAGCTCATTTGTGGCACAATGTAATAACAGGCCAGATGAACTGACCTCATGGGCCAAATCCAACCTCAGGCTGCAGTTTGGTGACCCTTGCTTTAATATAACAATAACAAAGATTTTATTAGATAAAGTCTATATAATATTAACATTATTGAGTTTACTTTTCAAACCATGCTCTATTTACTTTTAATATTTTATAATACAACTTATGGTAAGATGTGAATTCTGAATAAGGGATTTCCCAGCCCAGAATTGTACACCTCCCCAAATAAGCAAAAATGTCAAAGGAACCATATCTGTACATGCAACCTTCTGTGAGATATTCACTTCCAAAAATTAGTTTTTACTGTGTACCAATACTACTACCTATTCTCCATGCTCCACATCAGTCAAGATGAGTGATAGTGAGCCTGTGATATGAAACATGGAAAATAGGCATGCTCTGCATCACAGGCTCACATTGTTGCGTGCTTCAGTGCTCACTATCACTTGCACCTCAGCATTTGCATGGGGCATACCTCCACACCCATAAAAATATATATATAACATCAAGTAATCCACAAACAGTGAAGGGGACCACTCAAAGCCAGCAGAGTCACATGGACTAAATAGTTAAAATGCAATAGTATTAGCAGAGTGATATGACTCCTGATTGTATGTGACCTGGAAGTAGGCTGATTTCCAGGAGCAATACCTTGCAAACAGTCAAATGTAGAGGTATGGTTTCTTTGACTTTATTGCTCCTATGAGTATTGTCTACAGCTCTGATGAAGTCCCAGCTGTCTGATTCAAAGGTGTTATTGTACCCAACTTACTACATATTTAAATGTACTCTCAAACTACAACTTTTTAACACACAGTAATATCACTGGGTGATAATCGGTATCTCAGTTTTCATTATTCATCTCTTTTAAAAAATCTTATATTCAATATAAATCTATATTTGTTTTTCTAATTTTCATTTTAGAAAATTCAAGGGAAAAAATAAATAAAATTTAGGAATGATCATGTTTTATATAAAACTGTAAATAACCAAAAGAAAAAAAATCATTTAAAATATTATAATTCTTTAAAAATTTTAAGTTTTATCTAAAAACAATCAATCAATTAACTTTTACATTAAAAAGGTACAGGTAGCTACAGATTTTTCACTTCCATTATGATCTTACAGGATATCTGTTGCAATATATACCAAAATATTTAATAACTGCAATGTTTCCATACTTAAAATATCAAATATATAAAATCATGTTATTGTTTCAACAGAAATATAATCTCTCAAATATTTAAACCCTAGCATTCGAATTTGATGTGTTTTAGAACAGCACAAACCAAAGAAGTTCAAGTTGTTTGTAAGTGAAAGTGCTTTTAATTAATTATTTTCATTCAATAGTGTTTATATTTTAAACAAACTACTCAGTATTATGTTTTCTTGTAAATTATTCAATGTTTAATTATTTCCAATGTAATGTGTGCATTATCATTTTAAATTCATTAAAATTTAATTAATTATTGATTTTTTAACTCTATGAAAAAAATATAAAATTTTATGATTTTAAAGAGCTGGAAAAACAAGACTTATCAGAAAGAACAATAACGCTGCTTAACACGTGGTATGTATTATGAATGAATCGTAACGTTTAATTTTACAAAAATATATATTTTATCATCTGAAATTCGTCTGTTTTAAGTTAATGTATACCATATTCAATACATTTTAAATATAATTTAAACAGTATTCAGAGAAATTCAAAGAGAATATTCTAGAAAAGTTTCTTCTTCTTTGATTTACTCTTTATTACACTTCATTTCGTTTAAATATATTTCTTATTTATCAATATTTTAANTTTTTCTTATGGACTTTGATCAAATGTCTAGTCACACCCCATAATTGTACAAAACTAGTATTACAAAAAGGACACGGATAATACCATCTTCTTTGGGAATGTAAATTTACCATATGAAGGTATAGAGTTTTAAGCGATGTGTATCGAGTATTGCATACTAGACAACTTAAAGATTCGATATCACAGTCACTTCTTCCAGATAATAATTTATGTCTACTGTAATTAATGCCATACTTTTTATCTTCGTACGATGCGGATTTTGATGAATTTGTAACATTTTTTGGTATAATGACGACTAATTTTTTTCCAGGTTCTTCCTCTTTTCCTGGATTATTCTCTTGTTGGATCTTACCATTTTTATCATGAAGCTGTTGAAACACAGCATTAGTATTACCCTCGATTGGTTTTAAATATAATATTTTTTCGTCTTTTTTCTTTTCGGGATCTTCTTCCAATGACGCTGAAGAATTCCTCTCTTCCCATTTTTGAAGTTTTGTCTCTCTTGATTCTTTTTCTGCGGGAACAAAGATCTTTGGCGAAGAGGTTCCAATGGTAGTAAGTGCATCATCTTCGTCTTTGACACTTACTTCTTCTTTATTGCAATCAATTTCTTGACTTTCGATTTCTTCATTACTACTATTATCGGATGGTTTTTCGGGAAGGACAATGACAGTCGATTCGTCTATTTCAATATTACTAAAGAGTGTCATAGATTCACAACAGTGTTTTTGACAATAAACTCTCTTGTGAGAAATTAAATTTGCTAAACTTCTGAACAGATTATGGCAAATCTTGCATTCGTAAATTAAATTACATTCATTCAATATAATATCTTTTATCTCTTTAGTTCCGATTTGTAGACACTTCAAAACTTCACGTACATTTTTTACTCCAATGTTAATTGGTCTTTGTAAAATCGATTCGTCATATTCTCGGTTATCATTTTTCTGTAGTGAATCATTGGCTTTTTCCATGAATACTGAAACAAAAGAAAGAATGAATTAAAACTATGAAATCATTAAAAAACGTTATTTACAATTTATAACATATAAATTTGATTAAAATTTTCTTGATTTATAGAATGAAACAACAACATTAATAATTTAACATTTAGAATCTGAAAAAATTACTGCCATGTTATACTTTCGCAAAAGATTCATCGTTGTAATTCTGTCGTCTTAAAAAGTCAATTCTCTATCATTATCAATATTTGTGAAGAAATGTGCAGTAAAATTCGTTAATCCGACACCTAATAATCCAAACGTTCGATAATTCGGCACTCTCTGAAAAGTAGTTGTTAATTCGCAACTGTTCGATAATAACCCCGCATATTAATGTTCCACATATGTACTTTTTTCGAATCGTATGTATATTCGTATGTACTGTACAGTGTAATCATACGTACTATCGAATTTTGCAAAAATACAGAAATGCCCGACAATCCACTCTGGTACTGTAGGTGCCAGATTAACGAGTTTCTGTTGCATATTAATTCTAGAGTTCCGAAGGCAAACTGAGCAAATTATGTTTGAATCTGAATGCCAAGAACAAAAAAGTTTTCAAAACGTTAGTAATGAACTTGAAGCAATCAGCCAAAAGAGGAAACAAATTTAACCAAAAAAGTTTAAAACTCAATCTTAAGTCAAACTATTAGAAGCAGATGTGAAGTGTTAAGTGAAGTGAAAGTTTTCAATGTAGCTTGTCAGTTGATAATTATGAAGAAGTATAAGAAACGAGGGCCTTCGTATACTGCATACTTTTAGTATTTACAAATTTCCTTTGCATATTTTAATCTAAATTATGACGAGGTAAAAGCTTTCAATGTTTGACAACACAACACTTGGGCGATCTGCCTGGGGGATGTCTGCTGGGAGGTCTTTTTAAAGGAAACTGGCCTATTTAGGCGTTACAGACGTGGAGAAAACCCGGAAAACTCCACGTAGCCAGCCCGTCCGAGCGAGGCGCGAACCCACGACCGAACTCCCAGTGTTCAGGGTACGAAGACCGCTTGGCCACTGGTGGGCCAAAAGCTTTTAAACTCTACACGATTTTATATATAAATATATGAATTCTGTAAACAATTACTTAGACATAGAATTCACATACACAAAAATAGCACCAAGCCCAGATCAAGTCCCATGGAAGAAACTATATATAGTAGTATATTGTTAAAAATGAAACATGGTGATATCAGACAAAAATTTCTCGTTTTATAGTATTTTATTATTATTGACACTTCTATAGAATCGGGGATAAACAGCGTTGCATTGTCGCAATTATTTTCCAGACAACGAAAGTACAATTTTTAAAAAAAAAAAAAAAAAAACAGAAGTCCTATAACAGATAACCTTTGTTTTCAGGCGGCATTTATTGCAGGTTTGAGAATATTAACACTGAAACACACAGTAGCGTTACATTAATAATTTTCAAAATCTTACATAAATAATTCTTAAATTTATGTAATTTATTAAAAGTTTATTTATTTATATTTTAATATTTTTGATTTTTTGTTAAACAGAATGAAAATATGTTATGTATACATTGAATTTATGTCATAAAATAAATATGAAATTGTACTTATTTATGAGAAAATTATTGAATTATTTTCATGTAATTAGAACACCCAGCAATGAGATGTGTATCTTTTCCAGCAAAAGTTTTTTAAAATTAATGTAGTGATATCTCTTATGGTATTTTATTAAAAAATTTTTATATTTTTAATTATTGTAAAATGGCAAAAAGCTTTACGATTAGGGATAGCTTTTATTAAAAAAAATTGTAAATGCTAATAACCATAATGATATATATAAATATGAGCATGTATTTTAGTGTAAATCCGCTTATTGGTTTGTGCTTCAGAGTGGTCCGAATAAGCCAAATTAAATTATAACCAAACTGAATATATGTACAGTACTTTTATGTAGATGTTTTCCTTAAAATCCAAACCTATTTTTATAACTTCAATGGAGACGTTTAGTAAAATTATCTTCTGTTTAAATTTCAATTTAAAGAAATTTTTTCATTCTTTAATGGTGACAGAAATGAGCAACGCCATAATGAGAAAATCACGTTGTAAAAAATAAAGGCATTGGCTCATTGGAATGAAAATTGAGCCAGAAATTAAGAATAAAACATTATAAGACAACAATGAGATTATTGAGAAGATATATAAATTTTACATTGATATTTCAAAAGTAAGCAAACAATGACATAATTCGTTTCATATGAAACAAAGTTAAGCATGGGTTAACATTTTTTAACCGCTTGTCAATTAACTTGTCTAAAAGAAAAAATTCATAAAAATTATAAATTTAATTTATACCACCATATATTACATTTAAAGAACCAAAACAAAAGTCTAAACCTTATAAATATGCAAATTATTTTCACTTGCCTTCGATGAAATTTCTATAAAAAGGAAGTTTACAAGTATTACAAACACAACTTTCTGTTCTGTACTGAAGAGAAATTTTAGAAGTTATTCTTCAAAATTTACAATATTTTTAAAGCAGAAAAAAATAAACATATTATAGTTTTAAAAATGAATTGTTCTTCGGAAAGAACATCAGAAAGTGAAGAAGAGTGTACTTCTTACAATCGAACGAAAAGTCAATTTGATAATACTAAGGATTTTGATCTACTTGACAGTGTTGCTCTGCTTCGTATCTACAAAAAAATTGAAGAAGAACCAAGTGTAAATATAATAAATAGCATTGACGTACCGTATGTTACGAGTGAACTCAGCTGTAATTTTAGACGTAATGTTAAATGTTCTTTTGGTGTTACTGATAAACGAAAACATGCCATTCAAACATTATATTGTGACGATGAAATGAATCTTAGACAATTATATTCAGTTGAGAAATCCGCTGAAAGAGGTAATGTTTTATGGATTCCAGATATATATGGAAATCTTCCTGAGTATCTTCTGGTTGCTAGTGAAACTTTACGTTTATATGAAGATATGGACTCGAGTTTAATTTTCAGGGGAGAATTTGGAAATAATCATCGAAATAATCCAATAGTTTCCTGTGGATGGTGTTCTCATGATCCTCAGTATATATGCAGTGTGCAGTTGAATGGTTCCTGCAATATATGGTCACTAGAAAGAAAAAACGAAGTCATTACTTTCGACCTTCAACACTTTTATAATCCAAATTGGAATAATGTTAACACTAATGTAGGAATGTGTTTTTATCAAGGTAGTTTCAAGCATTGCTTTTTGACATATAGTGACAACAAAGTGAATCTTTTAAATGATGTAAGATCTCCATCAAGTTTTCGCGTATACGATTTCGAGAATAGAATTTTTAGGGTTAAATGCTCAACTAATAGCCCTTGGCTTGTTGCATGTGCCGAAAGAAAAAATATTTCATTAATAGATGTCAGATATCCTACTACAGTAATTGCTTCAATGTCTTCTTTTGATCCACTTGAAGATGCAAGTTGTTTTTCATGGTCTTTATATGATGAGATAGCAATTGGAACTGAAAAAGGAAAAGTCTTATTATGTATCCAAGTTGTATTATGTATGTATATCCATTATTATGTATCCAAATTATCGGTTTACGGGTAGCCCCTTTCATCTTTTTCTGAATACTAAAATCGTAGAGTCCTTGAACTACAAGGGGGGAATTAGCAAGACAGTTAACGGGTGTGATGTAACCCTGATGGTGGTTACCATTATTGTTCCTTGTTATAACCCGTCTCATGCTATCCATAACATCCGGGATAATATTAAGTATATCTATTCCTAATATGGCTTCGTATTCGGCGTGATCGGGGAACTGCATACACGCGATAGTACTCGTATGGCTACGACCGTTAATTTTAGACTAACCCTAATGATCTTATTACACTTAGTAACTACCCCATTTATCCCTCGAATACCCATCTTTTCTTTATCTACGGTTGCNTACCGATGTTCCTACTATCGAATGATTGCTGCCTATCGATAGAAAATTGTCGAATGATTTGTATAAACGATAATACAGTATCACGATAGTGTAGTGAGTTTTTTTAAAACTCTTTCCACCCTGTGGGCAGTAAGAGGACCTCTTTTTAGTAAGCCATTATGGGTTCGTCCAGGCCCACAATGGGGCGGCCGGGTGGTGAGGGACGTGGGTCGACGTATCCCATCGGAACACTCGAAAAATTCCTGGGGTTTTTTCGACCCGTTCAGATTCGAACCCGGGTCCCCCAGAGCGGTAGGCTGCCACCTTGACCGCTCGGCCATCCGGCCTAAGTGCAGTGACTAAAGCGCTCGGTAAATATTGCCAATTTTCTTCCAGATTTGTTCGAATATGGCTGATAAAACCTGCAATAACCAAAAATCTGGCCATGATTGAAAAACACAGAAAAATTTTAATCTATTTTAGCTAAAACTGTCACGTAATCAATATTGCCGGGTTTAAAACATTTCCTTGAACATGAAGAATTTAGACACCAAAAATAACTCAACGAAGAACTGAAGAATTTTTAAGACTTCATAGCACTAAATATTTTAAGAATTTTCAAATGCCGGGTTTTATAACTGGCTTGTGTTCTATTTTAAAAACTAAATAAAATTTAATTTTGAGTATTTTGTTATTTTAAATTGCAAATCAGTTATGGTACTGGATGCAATAGACCTATACCTCTCTTACATTTTTTTATATCTGTCTTCAATGTGTAATTGTGCATTTTTATTTTCAAATATTATTGTTTATTGGTTGTCGAAAATAACATAAAATGTGTCGTACGCGGAAATAGTATCTGTGCTAAGAGTCTGTGCCAAAAAATTTTCTCTGTCTGATTCTACTGACAAGAGATCCTGTATACTAATACATACCTTCTAATATATCTATTTTTTTTTCTCATTGAAAATGAAAAAATTATGTACAGATCCAATAAATCTAATACTCTGATTTAAGATTGACACACATTATTACATTGTTCAGCTTGCCGTCAGCTTTTTTTCTTCTTGATATCATCACAATATAACTGATATAGCAATATAATGTAGTACATGGTTTAGATAAATTCTTGGTTTATAGTGTGGTGATAAGCACGTGGTGAGGGTTGATTTCACAAAGAAACGGGTATATAAAACAAATAAGACGTGCTTTATTATTTTCTGTGAACATATACAGGAAAGGTTCTTGTCGATTCCGACCTCCTGAGTCCTTACATCAAACAAAAGAACAAACAACACTTTTTTTCGATTCACAGTCGAGCAAGACTTTCGCGATACAAAGAGATACTTAACTTCTAACTTAAACCTACTTATATCTAAAAAGAAAAGGAAAAAGGTAAAGAAAGTTAGATTAGAAGGGAGAATTGGAAATAATTTAGGATGGGACGGGTACCCGAGTTGACGATTGGGGTGGCGGCTGCTGGATGACTTCGTCTTGGGAATTTTCCTTTTCGGGACGGATCGCATGCGATAATCAAATAAAAATGTCTTTTATCTTTTGGCTGGCCAATGTCCTTATCGACGCTACTTCTTCCTTACGTGCTCTTCGTGCCTCTTTCAGCCGAAGCAACACCGACCTGGAGACCTCTCTCTGACGGTCTTCCCTCTTCTAGGTCCGAAGCCAGAAGTTCTCTCTCTAGTTTCTCACTTGCCCTCTGGGCTATTTCTAATCCTTTGTCTCCTAATTGGGTCAGTGACCACCCACACCTGGACGAAAGTTCCAGAAAGTATAGACAAAGGAACACAGAACAAAGAAGGAAGGAAAGATAGAAAATTATATATATACATATATATAAAAATATAACAAAAATATATTGGTGTACCACCACAATAGACTGATTTTATTTCTTTATTTATCATTTAAACAACAAACTAAATGAATATTAAAATATAGAAAAATAACGCTAATTCTGTCACATAAATGAACATAAATAAGCTCAGGTCTGTTCAACACTTCTTAAAGTCGTTTCGAGTTGTTTTATTTCGTCTTCATGTAAACGTTCGACCAATCTCGGGAATTTGTCGAATGAATATTTCATATCAATTGTCGAAGAAATGGACGAAGGTCGAGTGTTTTTCTCAACTTCGTCTGGTTCTAATAGAGGTTGTTGCTCAGGTTCGGATGAGAGTGTTTTATCCGGTTTCCTTTTTTTCACTTTGTCTTGTCTCTGTCCGGCAGTTCGACGTATTTTCTGATTGGATTCATTGTAGCAATGCCGTTGAATCAACATGCCACAAAAGGTGACCGTTGTTATAAAAAAAACAAAATCGATAGCGACATTGTTAATGTTAAATATCGCCGTGTTCGTTGATGGATACGGTTTCTGGATTGTTCGTAGCTGGCTCTGTAACGACGGATTGTTGTGCCAAAATGAGATCTAATTCTTTCATCTTTTCATCCCTTAATTCTGTTAATTTAGATTCGAGCCAACTCACCGTAGAACTGAATCGTGGCATTGGTCGTTCGTACGAGTAGTGATTACTTTGCGAAGGACATTAAAAGGCATTATCTTATTCCTCTCTGACTTGATCGAATGTCTTTGTTTCTTCATTATCTTAGGATAATTAGGATTATGTTCAAATCCTGAATGAAGTGTAGATGCCTCCTTGAGCTTATACAAAAATGGATTTAAATTCACTTCCTTTGCTTGAAGATGTGATTTCTGTTTAAGTCTTTCAAGAGGAAATCTTCTATATTTGTCATTGATAGGGCGTATATTGGAAAATTGTCCATATCCGTGTGGATCCTGTTCGGTATCGATGGTAGCAAATGAATTGTTTTCGCTTCTACGATACATCGACGGATCATGTTTCGTCCATCTAAGACTGGTTATAGCAATAGTCAGAATTTCTTTAAATAATAACGAAAATACTAGAATTCGATACATGGCGAAAGAAAAATCGCTGGGAAGAGAACGCATTCTAGCAATGAAAACGTTTTTCTCCTATTCTCACTCAGATTCTTTAACAATATAGAGGAGAAGATGGTATTATGGAACCCCATTTTCATTTTAGTGAATTGTAAACAAGGTATCATAACTACCCCCACATTTTTTTTTTTTTTTTTTGTT